CTCTTCTTCCCTCTCTCTTTCTTCACTCTTTTTTTTTTTAGGACCGAGTCTCACTCTGTTGCCCGGTAGATACGTCCGTGGCGCCAGCCTTCGCTCCAGCAACTCTCAGACTCCTGGTCCCAACGATCTCCTGCCCGCCTCTCTGAGTACTAGGACTCAGGCATGCGCCGTGCTGGCTGATTTTTTCTATATACTTTTAGTTGGCCACATTAATTTCTTTCTATTTATAGTAAGAAGGGGTCTGGCTCTTGCTCAGGCTGGGTTCACTCCTGACCTTGAGCGATCCTCCGCGCTCGGCCTCCCAGAGTGCTGGATGACGGCGCGAGCCACGCGCCGGCTCTGGCCAGTCTTAATCCATTCTGCATCCTTAGGCATGTGAACGTAGGTGATTTTTTGCTTGCAAAGCTCTGATTTCCAGGATTAACTTTATTCTTTTCTCCGAATGCTCAATCAAACGGATACAAACTGCCGAAACGAACTGGAATAAGGGCAACTGAACCGCCTAGCACGAACGAGAAATTAGATACATGACTGTTGGGTCACGGCGTGAAGCTTTAGTGCCACCTTCTACGGTACACAGTGGCAGAGCCGGGACACGCTAACATCTGATGGGGCTTTCCTTCTAGAGGCGGATGCTTGGCTTACTGATAATGGAGCGCTGGACGAGAGAGGGGAAGGAGATAAACCATGCACATTTAGAACAGAAAGGGTAACTAGGTGGGACAAAAACAAACAAAAAAAAGAAAAAACTGGCACACTCAGAGCAGCATATTCTACTTCCATCAATTCGAGTGACTTTGGGGTGACATTTAGGAGTCGTGTCATGAAGCAGACGTTAACAAATTTGGGTAAACTTTCACTGTTACTATCTGTTTTCTTCTGCAACAATAAATACAAGTGTATACCAGATGTTAACTATTACCTGCTTTTTTCTTAATTTTTTGAAGACACGACCGTCTCGTCTGTTGCCAGGCTCGGGAGGATGCCGTGGCGGTCAGCCTCGCTCGAGCAACCCAGGACATCCTGGGCTCAAGCGATCCTCTTGCCAGCCTCCTCCAAGTAGCTGGCTACAGGCATGCGGCAGCCAAGGCCAGTATTTATAAATCATATTATTTAGTTGTCTGGCAATTTCTTTCTAGTTTTAGTAGAGAACGGGGTCTCGTCTTGCTCACTGGTCACTCATCCTGCGATTCCTCCGCCTCGGCGCTCCAGAGAGGTAGATGAAGCGTGAGCCACCCCCTTGGCCCCTGCAAAAGTCTTGAAGGATTAATCCTAGATGTAAAAAAACAACAACCAAACACAATCGACCTGCAATTTCACAGTTTGCTGCGTTAAAATACAGGCTTTGTCAGGCGAAGTGAAGCAGCCTCACCCTGGCCTCTCTGTTCCGCATCCCACCTGAATCTCAGTGGACAGACTTTAACTTGTTTCTAAAATGTCATAATGATTTACAACATTGCTATGTTTTTCCCGTTATTATCCTTCCAAATTGACTCTGGGCCATTAGTGATTAACAATGAGTAAGTATCTTTTTTTATTCAAGTCTGGTCTTTCCTCTGAATTTATCGCATTCAGTCAGCGATTCACTCTCAGGAAAATGGAAGGGCCCAGCCCGGGCGCGGTGGCTCAACCGCCTGCAATCCCAGCACTCTGGAGGCCTGATGCGGGCGGATTCGTTTTGAGCTCCAGGAGTTCGAGACCACAGCTGAGCATGAATGAGACCCGTCTCACTAAAAAAAAGAAGAAATGTAGTGGACACAAAATATATAATAGAAAGTTACCCAGGCATCGGTGCGCATGCCTGTAGTCCCGCTGACTCGGGAGCTGGAGGCAGGAGGATCGCTTGAGCCCAGATCTGAGAAAGGTTGCTGTGAGCCGAGGCTACGCCACGGCACTCACTTAGCCTGGCACAAAGTGAGACTCAAGAGGAAGAGGAAGGAGGGAGAGGGAGGAGAGAGGGAGACGAGAGAAGGAAAGGAAGAGAAGAAGGAAGAAAGGAAGGAGGAAGGGAAGAAGGAGAAGGAAGAAGAGGAAAGAAGGAAGGAGGAAGAAGGAAGGAAGGAAGGAAGGAAGAAGAAATTAGGGAGAAGGGGCAGGGAAGGAAGGAGAGGGAAGGAAGGAAGGAAGGAAGAAGAAGAGAAGAAGGAAGGAAGACGGAAGGAAGGAAGGAAGGAAGAAGAGAGGAAGAAAGGAATTGAAGGGAGGAGGGAAGAAGGAAGGCAAGGAAAGGCAAGGAAGGAAGGAAGGGAGGTAGAGATGGAAGGAAGGGAGCGAAGGAAGGGAAAAGAAAGAAGGAGCGGAAGGAAGGAAGAAGAAGAAGGAAGAGAGAAGGAAGGAAGAGAGAAAGGAAGAAGGAAAGAAAGAAAGAAGAGAAAGAAAGAAAAAAGAAAAGAAGAAAGAAGAAAGAAAGAAGAGAAAGAAAGAAAGAAAGAAAAAAGAAGAGAGAAAGAAAGAAGAAAACGGAAGGGCCGTAATCAGTATACGACATCCATCGTAGGCTCTTTAAAAAGGCATTGGATTTTAATCCTGGCAGCAAAGCCGCCAGGCACTTGGCGCTGTGCGAGGGCTGTTGGAGCAGCACGCAGGCTTGCCCGCTGCCGCAGCAGTGCCCCTCACCGAGTTTCCAGGCACTTCCCCAGACGTGCCGTTAAATAAGTCTCGCGGTAGAACTTTGATGCGTTTATTCTCCATGTTTGGATCGGCAAGGATTCTAACCGCTGTCTGCTGAAAGTCAGGGCCTTATCGCCGTGCTAAAAATGAAGGCCTGAGAATATTAGCAAGAAAATCAGACGAGCATGAGTTTGCTCCTTGTCCTAGGACGGCAGAGTTCCTCAGCGGCCACACCTGCACGCTCCCGAGTCAATGCCGGACCCTCAATGCGTTTCTGCTTCACCTGGACGTCCCGCGCCCGCCTTGCAGGCAACACAGGTTTTGCAACCTAAATCCTAAAAAACGAGAAACAGAGGACGAAAAGTAACGACACACAGATTCGATGCCATTCTTAATTCTAACGTTTATGAACAGCATGCGGCTGTAGCAACCGCCCCAACACTTTTATCGAGCTGGAAGGCCATGGTTCCCTACCCCAAGTTCATTGCCCCCTTTAAAGGCCTTATTGGCTTGCACATCTAAAGACGCTTTGCAAATTTCAAAAGTCGGCCTTTGTCGTCCTTTTTTTTTTTGCCCCAAAGGAAAATAAAATCACATCCATTTCCTTCTTCTCATGTTCCATTAAAATCTAAAACACTAAAAAAAAAAAAAAAAATGGAAAATTATCCTTGGACACTGTTTTTTCATTGTAATAACAACAAAAAAATGTGCAATATAAATAGATCACGAGTTTTGTTTTATTTTCTTTGGTTGTTTTTAACAAAGTTCTGTAGAATAGCATGGTCCCGCAGCCTGTAACCTTCTTAAGGGGAAAATTGACATTACGTTTGCAAGCAATACCTGCTGAGTGAGAACACAACTGCCAGCATTTCAAAACCCTTTACAAAAAATTTAACCGAGATATTCTAAACAGCTATTCTTTCACGTGTAAACAAAGTATGACACAACGGCTCGCCGGAGTTTCACGCACAGCAAGACAGGCGGCCAAGTGGAGACAGATCGTCGTCTTCGACTTTAAATGAGTGATGATAAAAACTACTACTTACCCAGCATCACGCCCTAAGGGACGACTTTGGAGGAGACGCAGGCCAGAGCGGACTGCCAACAGCGT